TTAGCCAAGATGCAGGTGTGACTTCATCATACATCTCCCACGTTTCACATGCAGTCTTCTTTCCACGTCCACCAAAGAAAGACACCGTGTCACAACCTGTGCATGCATGCAACATTGATAATGCCTTACATCTCTCAGAGCCTAGTGCCCGTGCCCTTGCTCACTCATGAGCTGAAATGATCCGGGAGTTTTTTCCCTGCAGCATAGGCGACCCAGAGCGTGTCAATTTAAAGGTAGTGGGGATCATCATCTCACAGTAACCCTGTCTCACAGCATCTGCAATGTAACGGAATGCGTGTGTCAGCTTCCTCGTGCGTGCAGGGAGCAAGACCAATCAGTCACGGCTCTGGGGTGCGTGCTGACAACATCTCCGTGACACATGCTGATAACGTGTTTGTCAGTTTCACGCTGGCTGTTTCGTGGCTCAAATAGGCAAATATTTCTGTCTTCTTCTTCATTAGTATATGACCCATGAAGATCCGGGGTAGAATAGGTCTTCAGCAACCCATGCTTGCAGTAAAAGGTGACTATGCTTGTCGAAATTACATTGGGTTGTCACATTGGCGTAGTCATGCAATGACTGTAATGTTGCTATGCCAATGCAAGACCTTATCACTTGCTGTTACAATTATGATCATTCGTCCCGTGAAGATCCGGGGTAGAATAGGTCTCCAGCAACCCGTGCTTGCCGTAAAAGGTGACTATGCTTGTCGTAAGAGGCGTCTAATGGGATCGGGTGGTCAGGCTCGCTGACTTGGTTGATTCATGTCATCGTATCCCAATCGAGTGGATCGATGCTCGTGATGTCAATCACTGGATTGTCTGGTCCAGACTCGATTATTTACAGCCCGCCGTCATATAGCTGGAATATTGCTGAGTGCGGCGTTAAACATCAAACAAACTTCATCTGTTCCTAGGAATTTGACTTGAGGGTTCAACCCTCAGCCCTTCTTCTAATGCCCTTTCCTCTCTTGCATCTTCCCCGAGCCTTTAAACGATTCTTGATGTATGTATCCCACACGGCATCTAGTCTCTCAGTATGCTGAAGCCGAGATGCAATGTAGGGCAGGAACACCTGCGATGCATAATCAGAAAATGTTTAAGCGATACCAAGTTGTAGCATGTTGGTGATAACTGCCCCGTCAAGGATGGAGACTTCGATTAACCACATTCACTCCAGATGGCATCACATTTCCAAAGCAGCCAACAAGGTCAGATTTTGTTCCAGATCTTAACGTGAAGATCCGTGTTAGAATTGGTCTTCATCAAGCAATGTTTGTTGTAAGAGGCGACCAACGGGATGGGGTGGTAAGGCTGGCTGGCTTGTTTGATGAATGTCATCGTATCCCCATTGTGTAGATCGATGCTTATGATGTCAATCACTGGATTGTCTGGTCCTGGTGTTAAACAGCAAAGAAAGAAAGAAGGATATAATAAAATGTGCCTTCGCTGTAAATCAATCCCGGGTGAATGTGAATTATGTCAAAACTAGGAGGCTACACCACCGTCGAACCTACAGTAATATGTCCACAAATGCAGGGTATAATTAACTAAACAATAGAGAGAAATCATATTTAATTCAAGCAGCGCCTGTTCACAAATATAAGCACTGAAAGTGGATTGATAAGGGAAGGGACGTAACTCTTTGAAGAGTCACTTGTAAGACTGCAGCATTTTTTTTCATTACTATTTCATAAAAAAAACCCCCAGTTCTTCACTTTTGACAAATACACAATATTAGATGTTTTTATTATAAACACCGACCCTATGGTTTTGAAAAATGTTTCTAAAAGAAACAATACAGAAATGCATAAATGAACTGTAAAAGAACGCCACCACTGACTAGGACATAATATGCGTTTGTGTCAAAGAGTATCTGTTCCTATGGTGTAGGGGCGGTCGGGTAGCCTAGTGGTTAAAGCGTTCGCTCGTCACGCCGAAGACCCGGGTTCGATTCCCGACATGGGTACAAATTGTGAAGCCCATTTCTGGTGTCCCCCGCCGTGATATTGCTGGAATATTGCTACTCACTCACTCCTATAGTGTAAATGTTTTACAAGTATACTTTTTCCACGACCGGGATTTTGTTCTCCCTTCCTCTATGCGCGTTCATTTCTTGGAATCACTGAAAATGTGTATCATACGCATGTGCTCAATTTCTCTGGACGAGATTACATTGACACTGGCTGTCTATTACCGGATGGGACTAATTCCATGTGGTACCGATCATCGTTGACATTTGTCCGTTTATTGTTTTACGATACAGTCGGCAATATTCAAACAATATATATCACGGCAGTCTGGCATTAATAAAGGAGTTTAGGCTAGACAAGCCAGTCATTGATATAAATAACCGCTGCACCGGTACGATGATGACATGAGACCCGTGTGGCATGCCGGGTAAGAATATAGATCCGGGAGACCTCTGCAAGTCGTTTGTTTTTTGTTTAACTCCGCACCCAGCAATGTTCCAGCTATATGACGGCGGTCAGAAAACTATGGATTCTGGACCAGACAATTGAGTAATTACAATCACGAGCATCGATCCGCGCAATTGGGATTTATTTGGTGTGTTCAACACTGAGACTAAATCATCTCAAGAAACTTTTCACTGTAATATAACAAAACCTTGGCATCTTTCTGCATTTTCTTAAGTTACACCATATTTGGATAGGTGATACTCTGCCAGACACAGATTTGTGATGTGTGACTCAGTTAATTGCATGTCAGGGTATCCTATCCCAGTTGCGTGGATCCATGGCGATACTCATGTCAATTACTGGATTGCCCGTTCCAATGTCATATTGTGGAACTATACATGAGAGCGGCATTAAATACAAGCAAAGAGGGTCAATTTCAATCTAAGCAGATAATACATGTCTTAGTATGTCAGTCACCAAGAGAATGGTTAACCATCCATTTCTGATAAAACTTTTAGCATAATACCTGTTCTTTTCAACATAATATCTGTCCTGAAGAACTCTTTTAAAATGCATCAAGCTTAGAGTGGTCTTAAAAACTTTGCATTTGTAAATGTAAACTTTTGCCATTAACAATATCAGGTCAAATGATTCATCTGAAAAAAAAATCTCTATTAAGGTGTACCATAATTCTGTTGCATCCACTTATAAAAAGCGTGAATCTGTGAGTGAATATGTTGTCGTTCTTTATATTTCTAACGCCATTTGTTTCACATGGCGCATGGTTACCTGGACAGGAGGCTCTATTTGTTATAGGGATTTCTGAAATAATTATGATATAAACACGCTATAACCATGCATCAACCAACCCAACGAGAGTGACCATTTTTTGGTGCGTGCGTGCGTTCGTTCGTTCGCGTGAGTGACAGAGTATACGAACTTCGAGCCGACCAGTCTTTTTCACTTTTCTTAATGCCAAACGGTAGAATAGGTCCTCAGCAACCCATGCTTGACGTAAATGGCGCCTATGCCTGTCGCAAGGGGTGATTAACGGGATCGGGTGGTCAGGCTGCTGACTTGGTTGATTCATGTCATCGTACCCCAATTGAGTGGATCGATGCTTATGATGTCAATCCCTGGGTTGTCTGGTCCAGACTCGATTATTTACAGATCGCAATCACATAGCTGGAATGTTGCTGAGTGCGGCGTTAAACAACAAACTGACAAATGCCGAGCGTCAGGCAGGGTAACAAGAAGTATCATCGTTTAAGGTATAAAGCGGCCGTGGATTAAATCACCGACCTTCCGTTCTGGACCAGATGCTCTATCCACCAGACCACAGAGGCGGTCAGCAATCTGAGTGAGTGAGTGGACGTTGCTAATGTCTCCAATCAGCACAATAACAGCCATATCAGAGAGACCTGTAATTCATTCCAGGCAAAATAAGGACTGAAAGGAACTATCCATGACATCTGCTATGATGACAATCGGGTAAGTCACTGAGTCTGACCATCCAAGTCCCACTGTAATCAGCTCTTACAACAGGAGGTACGAAGGACCCTTTCTGTGCAGGATGTTACCTATAATCTATGCTGAAAAATATGTTATCCGATATACTAGATTCTAGCAAACTTCAAATGATAGGTTTAGTTTCTCTGAACAAATAACATTTGAGTACTTTGTTTTGGGCTTTCGTCTTGAGTTACAATAAGTTATAAAGTAAATGTTACGTATGTTATATTTGGGATTACACTTTCTTAGTCAAGTAGTCTGTGGCCCAGTGCATAAGATCTCTGGCTTTGTGTGCTGGTGATTAGTGAGTGGGTGTGTATGGTTTTACATCGCTTTTCACAATACTCCAGCAATATCAAACCGGGGCCTTAGCGAACGCTTTAACCACGAGGCTACCCCACCGCCCCGCTGGTGATTAAGTGCCTTACTCTGAAATTGTGAGTTCAAATCCTGGATGGGAGTCTACCCAAAGAAGTAAAATCCCAAATATTTCATGTTACATGTTACCATTTCTAAAAAGCATTGTCTACTGGCTAGCGATCAGTTATCACCAACTCTAGCGCGCACTTGTTCACATCTGGTGTAACTTTTGCTTGTTTTTATTAGAAGGGAGAAATATTCATTCAAAAATGAACAAAACTGACTCTTGTGAAAAAATACAAAAACACACACGATATAATCACCTTGCTCAAATACATTAGAAAAGATTGAGTGCCATACCAGAGAAAATAGTAAATTCAACTTGTATAACAAGGGCGGTGTGTGTGATCACGTTGCACGTGGCGATAACTGGTACAGTTGGTCGACAGGAAATTAATACACTATCCTCGTGTTATAACAGAAATCTACTAAAAGTCTTTCCGCGGACAGAAATACCTGCATCTGCTAATCGTTTCACACAAATTAAAGTTAACTTTGTACACGGAATATTTCAGAAAAACGGGGTTATGTCATGATAAATGAATAACCTATCCTTGAAAAACCTATCCTTGAATAACCTATCCTAGAAAGACAAGAAACTGCTCAATGATAAACTGAAGTCAAGAAAAAATAAAACAACAATCAGTGTAAAAGTGTACATACATGGAGATTTATTCTCTGAAAGCTCCACAACAAAGTGTCACAAATAATTTACACATCTGTATTATTCATCTGAAATCAAAAATATTGGGAAGTTCTGAGAGTGTCCTATCTAAGCCAAAGTTTCAACCTGAGAGCATCCACACCATTCAAGTAATATCGAAACAGTCGCTTGTCTCGGACAAAACCCAGGTTCTCATACAGTCGCAATGCTGCCTTGTTTGTGATCTCTGTCTCCAGGACAACCTGAAACAAAGGCAAACATAATTATATCAGGGCTCCAGATATGTTTGGGAGCCGTGGAGTATTTACTCACAATTTAGCGTTCACATTGGATATTGGTAGTTTTATTTGTGTAGTCAATACCTTTCACTCTTTTGGTCCAGTCCCCCTTAAAATGCAGTTTCAAGTGACTTCTAATTCGTATCTGTTGTATCCCGCCCGAGTGTGATATGTTCCATAAACTCACAACACTGATACACATGTGTAATTATCAATTAGTAAGAGCACCAATTATATACATTATTCACTGCAATAGAGTTCATGAATGTGTGATGCCTGTTTTGGATCATTAAATAACAATCTTTAAATTTTTTACAAGTACATGTTGAAAAGGACACATTGGATAATTACGCAGTGTTGTTATACCAAAAACATATTTTTTTTACCATTTTCCATGCATATTTGCATGTAAGCAACTGAAAATTAATAGGTAATGGTGATGTATTTTACGCATATCCCTCCTTCCTGGATCTCATTCAGTCTTGCTTGATAATGGTATAAGGACCTATACCGAAACGTTGCTTTTTACAGTATTAAAGAAGTTGTTATCCATAAAATTGTGTCTCCCTTGTCATCCGTCAACTTCTAAGTAATGCCTATACAACAATTTTTCTTCCTGGAGCTGTTTCATACAATATTGAATACAACATCATACATCTACATCAACATCATGACAGACCTACACCATTTACATGATAAACCTGGACAAAGCAGAACATAAATTCATTTCCCGCGAATCAACAGGATAATATTTGATAAGTTGGACAATGCCTCTGATGCTCATGTAACTATCCAGTGAGGTTGATTAACAGAGTTTTAAATTGTATTTGTAGTTCAACATGAAGGAAAGCCAAAAGGGACACAGGCTACAGATAATTACAATTACAACTGACCCGGGACAGATCTGAGATTTAATGTCATGATCTGAAAGATAAGGGTTGGCATACAAGACAACCCTGTCATGTGCCCCTAAGCTACTATCAAAGACATGTAACTTATGTACAGTTTCACATGATAAATTCAAAATGTTCATTTTTTCCTACTAGCAATAACATTTTCCTGTCAAATCACTTTTATACAAACATTACATTTGCATGACCTTGAAAAATGATTCTACTTTTTTGTTAACCTTGTGGCTACTCTCAAAAAGGTCTGTGTACACTGCATATCCCCTATGAAGTGTACTGATTTGGATTTAAAGTGAAGTCACAGTTCTAAAACATCTTCAATACTTACTTCATCACAGTCATCAGCTATCATGGCTCTGATTGCCTTCGTCACTAAATTGGATCCTAGGAAAAATACACAGAAATACGAATTATTAGGAATCAGTCATGATAGTGAAACGTAATGTGATCTGCATTGGTACATATTTGAAACAATAATGACCTTCCATTGATCTCAAATCTGCACCACAATACTAGTGAGTGAGTGAGTTGTGTTTAACACCACTTTTAACAGTATTCCAGTTATATCATGGCGTGTCTGCTTAATGTGGGAGGAAAGCCCGGAGTGATGCAGGTCTCAGACCTTTACCACTTCGGTGAAACCCAAGAGCTTGGGTATGGTGCTGAGAAGCCTAGAAACATAATTGGGGTGAACCGGGATTCGAATCCACAATCAAAGGTTTCCGGCGTGCCCAAGGGATGCAACTCTGCACAGAGAATTGCAGCGCCTTAGACGACTGGGACACCCGTACCCCCCACCACAATACTAACATCACATACATGAGGTATGTCACAGACAAACATATTAAAGTAACATAGCAACATCATATATTATAGATTCGTAATAAACTTTATAAACCTAATTAAATATCAAGTCAGCATAATATTCAAAAGTCTCATATAAATGAGAAATATGTGAGTGAGTTGGGTTTTAAGACTGCACCATTCCAGCCAAAAAGAATGGGCTGCACACATTGTACCCATCTCGGGGATTAAACCCTGGTCTTTGGTGTGACTAGTCAAGGCATTACCACTAGGCTACTAGGTTTTTGTTTGTTGTTTCATGCTGCACTCAGCAATAATCCAGCTGCCTGTACATAATCAAGTCTGGGCCAAACAATCAAGTGGTTGATATTGTGAGCAAAGCTCCACGTCACCAGGGTATGACGACACAGGTCAACCAAGCCACCAAGTCTGACCACCCAATCCATTTGGTTGCCTCCTACAACCAGCAAAGGTTCCTGGGGACTTATTCTAACCCGGAATCCCCATGGGGAACAATGCTGTTGGTCATGATACAAAACCTATGTCAAATGTATTGACAGTACTTTAGCATGAAAATCAGTTAGGTCATAACACTAATGTTACAAGATTCAGATTTAGGGGCCCAATTGTAGCAAACCTAAACGACACATAATAGTTTTGAACACTGATCAGTAAGCATAAAATACAAGAAACCAAAACACTGCTCATGCTCATTAAAGCCTTCCTTAAAAGGGAATAATTAGCAAAGTAACCAAAACATATTTAGTCAAATGTGTTAAGTTTCATGTCATTGATCATGATCACAAGGTCAGCCACTTGATTGTTTGTTTATTGTTTATTTGTTGTTTAAGGCTGCACTCAGCAATATTTCAGCTATATGACAGCGCTCTGTAAATAATCGAGTCTGGACCAGACAATCCAGTAATTGACATCATGAGCATCGATCCACACCATTGGGATACGATGACATGCATCAACCAAGTCAGCGAGCCTGACCACCCGATCCCGTTAGTCGCCTCTTTTGACAAGAATAGGTTGCTGAAGACCTATTCTACCCCGGATCTTCAAAGGTCCAGCCACTTGATTGCATAGGGACAATGTTTCATGTGTGACTACTGTGAATTCTAGGAGACAGCAAGTTCATTGAAGTTGTACTCTAAATACTTCCTCAATCATTTTGTTCACCTTAAAAAAAAGGTCGAATTTGACAATGACCTTGTAATTGAAATATGTGACAGTTATACATCCAGCTTAAATAATTCACAATAATGCAAAGTTGACCAAAAGTGAAATACTGATATGCTAAAAAATGAGATCCCTTGACTGGCCTACGAGTGCAGTATTTCATGGAAACAGTTTGGAAGCTTTTGAGCATGTTGTACTGGGGTCAGAGAACAAAAATTTGAAATAGTATTAGAATTTGTCGCCCCAAAAGACTCCCTAGCCCCAAATTTGTACAACTTATTGCCCTTGGCAGTCAAATAAGGTGAAAAGCTTTTTATGTTTTTTAAAAATGGGATTTTCTAAAGTTCTTATTTTCATAAATCATAGGTACTTTAACATTGCATACAATGTGCATGTTGTAGTTATGTATAACTAAGCAGTAAAACTGCTTCCACATTATTGGTCAGGGTATCAGTATAATAACTGTCGTCTCTATCAAGCCATACCACTAGTTATAACAATAATTAACAGGAATTAAGAACATTTTAATTCCAAATTTGGAATCCTAAATCACCTTTCCTGCAGACTGGGGGCCTCATGCCAAGTCAAGATAAATCATTGTTTTGTGCCCAGCTCCAGCAAAAAGCTAAACACTGATTTTGGTAGTATTTGCAAATTGCAAATACATTTCCTGACTATGTTTGTGGTGAGTCTACTGGTGGTACAAGTCATTTAAAACAACTTAACAATATTGTTGGGATATTACGTTTTGAAATAAACCGCATGGAGTAGACATTAATAACTTGTAAGGCAAACTTCTGCTTTAGTTCAAGATTATCATTTTGGTCTTTGGATAATATTAATAACCACAATAATACATCTATGACCAGGCTTTGAACAGACAAGGGATCATGATCACCCAAAGATTTGGATGCTTAGCGCATAGTATATCTGTACAAAATAGTATCCATAGCAGGGAACATTTGTTAATTAAATGATGGATTTATTAATCCAGAAAATGTATCCCATCCTTCAGTGTGCTTACCTATTTTCCTTCTCCTATAATCTGCATCTATAGCTAGCATGGCTATGTAGCCTCTACGGACCATCTTCTTGTGCATGTCTAGCTTGCAGACGATAGCCCCCACACACTTCTCCTGGTCCATAGCCTGGAAATGTGAAATACAAGCATAAACTCGTAATGACATTCAATATCACATTCTATCACACCACAATGTTCAATTCATTGATACTAGTGAGTGAGTTGTGTTTTGGGCCACTTTGAACACTATTTCTGTCTGTCATAGCTTGTCAAGTTCATGTGGGAGGAAAGCCAGAAGAGGCAGGTCTTAGGGCTTTGTCACTTATCACGAAATCCACAGACATTGGTATGGTGCTGTAAAAGCCAATAATCATATAACCAATGTGAACCCAGGATTCAAACCCAAGGCCATGATCACAGGATCATGTCAAACCTAATGGATACAAATAAATATGAAAGTATTGCTCAAAGCACAGTGAACATGGTGAACAGTCAATTTACTAGGCATTTTTAGTGGTAGAAACTAACATTTTTGGTCCACTAGTCCTATAATGATAATATATAGCAAAACCCTTCAAAATGGCAAATATCAACCAGTCCTTATGATACCTTAACTATTGGGCAGTTTGGAAAGGACAATACATGCTATGGCACTAGTGCCAATTTCTAACCCTGATTATTAGCCTACAGATTTCATAACTGTAGAATAAATTCAGAAATGTTCATCATTAGTATCAGACTAATACAAATATACAATGTATATCCATACACATAACCATCAATGGAATGTGAACATGATTCAGATTTGGCACACAAAGTTTGTGTTCTTGGACATATTAATTCTTATTGTTTTATCTAGTTGAAACAAAAGTGTAAACAGAATATTTCAATAGATAGGTGTGTTTTACTGACTTAATATATGTAAAGAAAAATACAATAACCTGTCTTTGAGAGGCAGATTGGAATGCATAACCTATACTAGTGTCATAATTCAATAGATCAATAAACTGAAGTATACATAACCTTGGAAAAAGCACATTGCATATCTTAATTGTCATGTCATGGATAACAGCAAATCATAATATGCATCAATCAAAATCCCCTGCTCATGGTAATTTCGGTACCCTGATCTGCAAACACCACCATGTAAATATATTGGAAAAATAGTAATGTGCATAGAAATTGCAAAACAAACACCCGGAACAGTATTGATCACTGAACCATTGAAATAACATTTTATACCCTAAACTGTCCGTTAATGGGAACTTCTGGGCAAAAGCTTACTACTGCAGTAGTAAACAATAGATATTAAACAATGTTGCAAATCTCTTACCAGGAAACACAGTTTGGGCCAATTATGAATGAAGTATCTGTAAGTGTAAATTGAATAAGGTTCTGACAAGTCTTTCGTAATGAGCCTCATTATATCTGGCATCTGTTTTTCGGATTCATACACGACATATTCAATGCCTTCTCTAATGTCTCTTTGAGATACTGGTGAAAGTTGAGCTTGTGGGGACTGGCTTGACACTGACAACGACGTTAGACCAACAGCCACTTCTGATACATCTGTATCGGGATGACCATGTTCACAGTCTTGGCAGCTGCTTCCTTGGCCAGAATCGCCACTCTCTGCTTGATCATACTCTTCAGGGGCTTTTAAAATGTGATTTATTAACCCATTTGCCTCTTTCCTGTGTTTGATTTTGCTGTTCAGCACTAATCCATCAGCTGGATTTTTCACAAAATCGACCTTAGTGAGGTCCTTAGTTTCGCTTGTCTCGTTCACATTTGCAACAGTTTGCACATCAGATTCTATTTCCGATCCTCTATCTATATTATTATCAGCCATGGCTTTAGAGAACGTTTGATTAATATGCCATTATTATGATTCATTAGTATCTTATTACTGAGTCTAAGTGTTGATTTACAACCATTACAGAAACGTGACTCAGTTTTTCCTCCATGTTGTTGTCCACCATTACAGCACTCTCACGAGCGCATGCGTGAATTGATATGATTCACTTCCTTCATCAGATTACAACGCAGTAGTGGAAATACGCTAGTAACATCACAACGTTATTCCAGGGAATGAACATGGCCTCATGTTGTTCTCAAGAACCTTAACTATACACATTCTTTTCGTGAGATAACAAAAATATACATATTAGTAAATAATATTTCTATATTTTTCTTCGCGGAGGATTTTCCACCAGTGTTGTTTGGTCACTTCCGGAATAATAAGCTGCATGTGTTACCGAGGTCATTCATGTAACTTTCATTCCTCCGTGGAGCGATTGGTAATAGTGTGCTTCTTATCGGTAAAGACGCGAATCATATATGAATGAAATAATTTAAGTTAATATTCTTCGTGTTATATGTTATCAATAACTTTACAAAAAAGCAACATGATACCTTACACAACACGAGCCACCGGTACGACCTGTGAACCCACTAAGAAACAACACATCAAATATTACTAGAAGGCACAAGAAGTGTCCCAGTTAATTAAACTCATAGCAAATAAAATATGTTTAATATGGTGAGGCATTGTTGGACCAAAAACAACTTATTGATGTGTATGAAAAGTTGCAGATTAATGATCCGTCTCCTAACTATAAGAATGATAACAGTTAATAGAATGAGGTTTTCTTTTCAGAATTAAGAAATGTCTCATGCACCAAATCAAGAGGCAAGGAAACTGTGTTGGGCTGCTCGAGATGAGTACTGGACATGCCTAGAAAAGTCAAACGAAGATGTGTCAAAATGTCAAAAAAGTAGAAAGTTATTTGAAGAGGGCTGCTCAAGAACATGGGTCAGTGTTTACAAACAATGAAATTAGGGTACTTGTGTAACATTATTTTTCAATGCCTTTGTGGATAGAAAGTAACATGCAAGTTTGCATAGAAGTGTGTGTGAATGACATTGTTCTAAGCATGTAATGCAATAGTACATGTATAACTTTGCATGCATGAAGCCTAACTCTCTCAAGGTTACAGCTAAAACGTCATCGAGCAAAAACGGTGCTGATTGGTCAGGACGGAATCTAGCCCCAAACTCCTATTGCAAGGAGAAAACAGCACCTTATTTTTTAAAAGCAATAAATGAAATTAAACTCACAGCTTCACATGTAAACACAAATAGTTGTGAAATGTTAATTGCCTTAAACATGTTTACATTAGAAATAAGGCTCTACTCCAATTTACTCACCTACCGGGTAATATGATTGGGAGCGGCAACTAAAGTTATTGTGAAAACATACTTTTTGAAGTTTAAGTACTTTTACCTGGTGCTGAGATTGGTGTTATGACTGTTCCATATTTTGCTAGAACATACCTCCCACTCCCCATGTTACGCAACATAAAATAATAAAGGACCAGTCCCGTAGTTAATGAAACAAATTGCCAATTTCTCTTTCAGGTAAAATACTTCGACAGACGACGTGATTATCTACGTTATAAAGAGAAGATTGAAAAGGAAGGTTTTGAGCCAGCTAAGACAGCACAACCTAAGTGAATACATGCCCAAGAAAAAACTTTGACAAGAACTTGAATCTGAATGAGTGTATGTGGCAACTGAGCAGATGTGAATTGTGAAAGTTTTCTATATTGGGACATTTTGCTGCAGAAGTAGGAAAATAATGACTGAAGACAGCTTAGAAACATATCTATACAGTGATCCTTGTATACCGTCTTTCATATGCAAAACAATGCTTCATATTTGGTGTTAAATCCTTTTGTGAATTTAAACAGTATGTTAATATTGTATGGTAATAATGTTCCCTTATATGTTTGATGTTCTTTCAAACAACAGAGTAATGACTGGAATGTGAGTATTAATGGAGGCAAGAAGCTTATTCATTGTTGCATTCTCAGTTATATTTTACAAAATCCTTTTAATGTAAGTTTATCATAAAATGACCAGTATAGGTCAGCTTTAGGCTGAGTCCATAAACAGTGTTGTTAGCATCCATTCACAATGGCCCCAGTAATAAACGTGAGGATCAGCATCCCCCATCCATGTCTCAACACATACTTGTGACAAGAACAAGAGAAGATGTTTGTGTTGTGGTGAAACACTGTTATGATTATAGCATGTTTACAGTACGAGGTGATGCAAGTCACTGACACTTGTGATCTGATGCGTATACCTGTAAAGTGTTGATAATAAAGAGTTGTGTGTTTTAGTACCCTACTCTACTTTGTATGTATGACTAAATCCTCAGACTAGTGAAGATCCGGGGTAAAATAGATCCTCAGCAACCCATGCTTGCCATAAAAGGCGATTATGCTTGTTGTAAGAGGCAGCTAACGGGATCGGGTGGTCAGACTCGCTGACTTGTTTGATGCATGTCATTGTATCCTAGTTGCGTGGATCGATGCTCATGATGTCAATCACTGGATTGTCTGTTCTAGACTTGATTATTTACAAACTGCTGTCATATAGATGGAATATTGCTGAGTGCGGCTTTAAACAAGAAACACCAGGTGAATCTAGTCTGATATTGTGTAAAAAAATCTGATGAGTTTAAAGCTGTGCTAGGGAGGTGGTGTCCCCAAGTGGTGGAGGCATTCTCTTGTTGCAACAATCAAGGTCCTATTCCCACATGTGTCAAGCCTAATTGTGGTGTCTCCTGATTGGTTCAACTGTGTCATATGGCCCTGTGACGCAGGGGTAGCATTATCCAGATGGCTGTTTCAATGAATGCTTGTTCCACCCATGACGAACAAGTCTGGTTGTTGATGAAATATAGTGATAGCTAAAAAGACAGATTTTTTATTCATGCACCGATTGTCTTTAAATGTAATATCCAGTTATGTATGACTGTTTTATAATCTCATACCAACTTTGACTGGAGTAGGTCCGATAGTTTTTCAGATATTGTAGTAAACGTTGGTACCTTAAATTACCTTCCAGACTATATATGACTGATGACATATTGCACATGCTCAGAAGCCTTTAACCTATAATGGACTGGTATATCAACAATCAAACCTTATTGCATCTCCGAGGACTCTCAATGTACACCGTTTGCATCTGTTCACAATTTGTATGCGTATCATGCCATTTAACGTGTACTCTTATAAGTACAACAACAGACCAAATGAACTAAGAGGCACCAATTCCACCAAAAGGAGTCAGCAATACATGCATTATACATTCTTTTTACCATGGCCACTGTGGAAGAAGGTCCCAGCCATTGATCTACCTACAGGAAAATAGGTTCATTGTTATTAAAATGAACGTGTGCATTAGACGTCTGCAGTGCAAATTTCAAATAATACTTAATCCTTTACCGTTATGTAGGTTCACCAACAGTGTTGGTGTAACACCTACAAGTTTCATTTGTCTACCTTTAATACCTTTCAATATATTGGTTTCACAGGATATAAATGGTGTTTCACCCTTAACCTTTGACATGGGTAAAGGATCTGATGTAGAAGCTAAAGTGGACTGGAAAGCATTCTTTGGGCAAAATTTAGGGGTGCGTAGCTGGGACCATATACACAAAAATTCAGCTTAATGTCCTCTGAAATTTCAGAGATGTCGTTCATGCAGTAATATTTGATAAACAGGGATACCCAAAAAGTCGAAGCTGGGTCAAATATCAAAATCTGTCCTAAGAGAGTGTCCCATGTTATTCTGCATACTACATACCTATTGCGATTATAACTTCATAATGATCCATGCAGAAAATCGACAAAAAGTAGAATTTTATTTCCCCCATGATGGACATGTTTAAATTCAAGACTGGAATTCTGTGTGAGCACTTTTTAAGAAACACTTCCTGCCTAGTAGTTTCAAGGAGAGTGTCTGAAATGTAAGACGTCAATGTGCTGCGATGCAAGCTTGCTTGCCTTTAAGTCAGGTGAGCTAAAACTGCTTCCAGGAAATATGTTTCTAAATGCTACCATATTTTAGACAAGACAAAAAACTCAAGGAACATTAATCATGTTTATTTGTATTTTTTTAACAATGACAATCTGCCTACTATTTACAATCAGTAGCAACACATGGTTGAAGGGAACATGAAAACTCCCAAAGCACAAGAGTCCATGTTCACTGATAACATATTTTTCATATCAAGGGTATAAAAGTACACAATACCGCGAGGGACTCAGGAAGGAATCCAGGCCCTTCACAATTTGACAACACAGGTGGTGGTTGGGTCAAATTCAGCACAGGCAGAGTGAGTGAGTGAGTATGGTTTTACGCCGCTTTTAGCAATATTCCAGCAATATCACGGCGGGGGACACCAGAAATGGGCTTCACACATTGTACCCATGTCGGAAATCAAACCCAGGTCTTCGGCGTGACGAGCGAACGCTTTAACCACTGGGCTACCCGACTGCCCAGCACAGGCAGAGCTAACTGGATTTTACCAGCAAGGTGTTAACACGTATCAGTTTCATAGCACAATTTGAATCACCAGTTAGAAACTATCGTCAACCTCTCGATGCCATATGTCTTGTAAACAGGTCTACTCTCATATTATATAATACTTTGGTTAATTTCAACAAGTTCACAGTATATTATACCATAACAGGGATGGAAACTAACCAAGAACATCTACTAGCCACAATAGTGATAACACATAGCAATACCCCCCCCCAAAATGTTTGAAATTCTACTTGCTATTAATATATCTTGAACATTAACAAAACTGGTCTGGGCTAGTTGGATGGTGTTGATGTCAATCCCTGCATGTGTTTAAGAAGCATTTTAAAGTTAGTGAGTTGGGTTTAACACAGATTAATACCAACAAAAAATAGTATTCTAGCTTTATCAAGGCATGTCAACTATATGTTTTGTTTGTTTGTTTGTTTGTTGTTTAACGCTGCACTCAGCAATATTCCAGCTATATGACGGCAGTTCAACTTCATGTGGGAGGAAAGTCAAAAGTGATGCAGGTCTCAGACGTTTACCACTTTGGTGAAACCCACGGGCACAGGTATTGTGCTGACAAACCTATAAACATAATCGGGGCGAACTGAGATTCGAACCCACAACCACAGGATCCTGACAGACCCAAGGGATGCAACTCTGCACAGCAAATTGTGGTGTCTTAGACGACTGGGCCACCCATTCCCCGGCATTTTAAAAGCTGTGGTATCAATATTAAGACAGTTTAGGGATTTCAACCGCTGTCTTAATATATAACACCAACAAACTCAAACAGAATGAAGTTATGGAGGTCACACATCCAGAAAGCTTGACAAAATTAACTCTCCTAAATTGTAACTTCTCCATTGTACAGATTTGCAGCTAGCAATGTCATGGAAGGATCAACTGGGGTGAACATCAAGTAAGTTTTGTTTGTTGTTTAACGCCGCACTTGGCAATATTCCAGCTATATGACGGCGGTCTGTAAATAATCGTGTCTGGACCAGACAATCCAGTGATTGACATCATGAGCATCGATCCACGCAAATGGGATACGATGACATGCATAAATTAAGTCAGCGAGTCTGACCACCTAATCCTGTTACTCGCCTCTTACGACAAGCATATGAGTTGGGTTAATTAATGCCACTTTTGAACAGTATTTCAGTTATATCATGGCTGCCAGCTTAACATGGGAGGAAAGATTAAAGTGATGCAGGTCTTGGGACATTTTGGTTGAACCCATGTGTATGGCGCCGACAAACCAAGGATAATAATGAGACAAATTTTGAGGTTTCAAACCCGCGATTGGATCCTGGAAGGGATGTAATTGACTTTCAATTGGTGATCTGTGTCACTCTTAACATCAAGAGACTTGAGCACAATACATGCATTTATTCCGTGCCGGAGATTCATACATCACACCCTAACTGTAGCATGTTTCCTGGCTAAGTTTGATCAGCTTGGTTACCTTAACACCACATGCGGTATAGAGCAATGCTGTAAGAGTTCAGTCTCAAAATGTGCACACACTTGCTGTGGGTGTAGGTGTCCGGGGAACATGTTCAGCAGTCCATGACGATGGTCCACACTAATCGGTGATGCATCACCGCAGATACGAAACAATAACAACAGAGGTTGAGTTTGCAGGTTCAAACAACTTGCCAAGGATAGACTGGTGAGCTGAACACAGAATCACATTTAACTGGGAAGAGTTCTGCAGAACTCTATTGTCAACAATTCGGGTGTACATTTGCATGCTATGTCACAACCTCTTGGCAACCCTGTCCTTCACAACACTTCTGTTTCCATAGTGATCTGGTGGCCATCTTGGATTGGGTGATCAATCACAATGGCCGACTCCCGAAAATAGTATTTTTTCAGCTTGTTGCTGTATGTTGATGGCTGTCAAACAACTTTCTTCTGTTTGACAGCGGCTGATTGTCATACTGAAACAAAGACATTGTTGTCAGTCAGGTTTAGTCACTAAACACTAACAATGAGTGAGAGAGTTGGGCTTAACGATGCTTTTAACAGTAATATCGCAGCATGTCAGCTTAATGTGGGAGGAAAGCCCAAAGTGATGCAGGTTTCAGACGTTTACCACTTTGGTGAAACAAACAAGCACAGGTATGGTGCTGACAAACTTAGAAACATAATCTGGGCGAACTGGGATTTGAACCCACAATCATAGGTTTCTGGCGTGTCCAAGGGGCGCAACTCTGCACAGCGAATCGCGAAGCCTTAGACGACTGGGCCCCCGAACACTAACCTCCAGGAGAATAACAGACAAGGTGATTAAAAGCTTCATGTTGAATTGAGGATACTTATCAGTAGAAAGAAAAACTGAGCAACACTTCAATGAATTTAGGCATGAGTGAGTGAGTATGGTTTTATGCTCTTAGCAACATTCCAGCAATATCACAGCTGGGGACACCAGAAATGGGCTTCACACATTGTACCCACGTTGGGAATCAAACCTGGGTTTTGGGTGTGACAACCAAAACGCTATAACTACTAGGCCACCCCACCCAATTAGCACAGTCTTAATTGTTTACATTTGGAGCTGATTGTTTTCTTTCAAGATAAAGAAATCAGATTTGCTGGCCTGAAAGCTACACTTACTTGTACTGAGAACTAAGACACCTCAACCCTGATCAGAAAGTTCCCCAAAAGCTACCTCCTATGGCAGTGTCCTCCGATCTTAGCACAGAGATGTTGCATACCAAAAGGATGTATTTACAGAGAAAAAGTCCTTCTTGATATTACTGGTAATCAGATGGTTGGTTGGTTTGTTGTTGAAGGCCGCACTCAGCAATATTCCAATATTGCATCAACCAAGTCAGCGAGCCTGACCACTCGATCCCGTTAGTCGCCTTTTACGACAAGCAGAGTCACCTTTTACGGCAAGCATGGGTTGCTGAAGACCTATCCTACCCCGGAATCTTCACGGGTCTCTGGTAATCAGAGGAAGGGAAGAGACAACAAGCAAATGAAGAATTGGACCCTAATCTCTTATCTTAGTGAAGGTTACCATGGTTACTACAACCAGAAGAAAGTTGGTTTGGAAAACAAAATCATCAGTAGAAAACGGTACAATAAAGGGAACTCACATTCTGGTTTGCGCTTTTGACTTTGCTGCTTGAGGGCCTGCAAAGACAACAAAAGACAACATTAAACGGGGGACACATCAGAAAAAATGGCACAATACATAGACCATGATATGTATCGTGATACACATAATTATGCCAAATCGCATGGAAACTTCTTGACGATAAAAATTTCAGAGCAGGTTCAAAAAGGTAAAGCTAGCTGTAGACACAAATTCATGGCTACTTTTAGTGGTGAACTTGAAAAAGACTTTTTACAACATTTTGCAATATTTGATTTACAAACATGCTGGATTAGCGAACCCAGGCCTTCGGAGTGATGAGTGAACGCTTAACCACAAGACTACCCATATCACCAGGGCTGACGGATACTGTAGAAAAAGCTTTGGACTAAGTGCACATACCTTCTTGATAGCTGTCCAGTCTTCTATGACTTCTAGCTCCTTCAACATGTAGACAATATATGGACGTACAGACAGTTAAGGTTGCAACCAATAATCTCATAGTTACCTTGTTTCCATAGAATGCCAAAGGCACCTTATTAACACAAACTGAAAATTTAATCTAAGTTTCACAAAGATATTGTTGTGGTATAACTTTTAAAATACACTTATAAAAGCAATATTAAAATAAATATATACAAAACAATCTGATCATGCATACGCTGAAGTTGACTGAAACATTAGATACTATATAAACATAAGCGAATTGTAGTGTAACCATGGAGTGTTATTGCTATTGACCTACTTAGGACCACATGACCCCTCCAAGCCCTATTGGATGCCTAAGTTAGTTATGCCATGGAAATTACCTAATTTTTCAGTGGTACTTGACCATGTTGCCATCAGAAGTAAATATATTATGACATTTTGAAATAATGTTAAAGTCCATGAAAAATGTCAAGCGGATCCACCAGACTACCGGTAGTCAAATTTTTTAAAGCTGTGTGATGGTCTAATTAGTCTCTGACATATGAAACGAAACTTGTGGTTAGAGATATAATCGTCAGCATCACTACATATGTGAAAATGACAGTGTAAAGGATATCAGAAATGGTGACAGGCTTTCTCCTTCTGTCTGGGTTGAAAGGGTCTGTTGGTTTTTTCTTCTTTTTCTGACTCTGAGATTCATTCCATAAATCTACAAAGGAAACTGATAAATGTGAAAATGGTTACATAAATACAGGGATGAAAGTTAAGGATAACTGGTTCTCACACATCCAATGGAATGAGACTAAAGTATTTAACTTCTGACATATTTCTCCAGAAGGAAGAAAATGGTTTTGTTTCTCAAATGCAGGAAAATCGATAACAGTGAATAAGTGTGTGTGTCCTTGCATGCAGTCAGACATAAATGGTAACTAGGAGATAACATTGTCTGTGTGAGTATTGAAACTGGCTTTCGACGTATACTCGTGTAAAACAAAAGCTGCCACGTAAGTGAAACACATATAAATGCTTTCATGGCAAAGCAGTCTTGCTTCTACAGGCTGTGATGCTGCCTACAAAACCAGCCTTATAATGTGTAAGTTTCTCTAGTTGTGAAGCCACATACCTGAGGAAATGTCAATGTTATTCCTATCCTCTTCTAAACGACGGATTTTCTCTTCAAGCTCTTGCTTCACAGTATCATACAAGATTATCTTCTCACTCTGAAATACACAAGAACAACCACTCAATCAACTGGGACAAATGTACAATATGGTTCACGGTATTATAAAATTAATGGCATACATGTACATGAGTACCTGTCTCAAAGTCAAAGGACACTACACATGGCAATATGAGTGAGTTGGGCTTAACGCCACTTTGAACGGTATTCCACACTATAGCACATGTCAGCTTAATGTGGGGGAAAGTCTGAGGTGATGCAGGTCCTAGAGGTTTACCACTTTGGTGAAGCCCACAAGCAAGGGTATGGTGCTGACAAGCCTGGAAACATGATCTGGGTGAGCCAGGATTTGAACCCATGATCACAGATTTCTGTTTGCCCAAGGGACACAACTCAGCATAAATATTGGCGCTTAGTCGGCTGGGCTAAAGTGACCCCCCCAATATGTTAAGACTGAAAACATACAAAACAGTCCATTGAACAGACTACACACTGGCATATCATTCAATACACAACACCAGTTTGCATGAAAAAATTACCTCCATGTTCTGATATGATGACAGCTCCTCACTTTCAAATCTATTCTTAATACAAGCTATCCGCAATTCTCGAAGAATTCCTGAAACAATGAGAATCTATGTTTTTTAACATGTTCTTTACCAAAACAACTCAAACAAGTATCTTCACATGACATACAGATGCACCATGAAACATAAGCATCACAAATAGACATGATTTGGTTTTACACAAGATTTTCTCATTTTAATAGCCAATAATGTGATTATGTATACCGAAATGTAAATGTATTTTGTCACACAAGCTATTTGTTTGATACTTAGTAAACATGTCAAAGCTTAATAATGCCACTTGTATAAGTTGTATTGTTGTTGGCTATTTGATATTCATACATTAGAGATGATTATGGAGTAGATGTATTATACCATCAATTGAAACAAAGGGAATCTGTCTCACCTGCCACCTGTGTGCGAATCCTCATGTTATCCTGTAACTGAGCCAGTGGGTTTAAGTATTCTATTGCTTTTCCTGCCTTCACCTCCTCTAACTTTTCTGATACTTGTGCACTCCTCTCTCTGTACAGTCTGAAAACACGGAGAAGGCAAACGTTAACTCTATCATATAATGATGAAACCACTTCCTATCAATCAAGGGGCCAAATTAATGGTTAAATTCCATATCCATCCATTAAATGATATCCTTCGAAACCCATTTCCCCCTTAATTATCATGTTTGTGAGCACAGAGAGTTCTACAGGTATATTACCAGTTCTACCATACAGTTCAAGAAATTAATCAAAACTTACTGTTCTTTTAATTCACTGAACTGTCTTTCCAGTTCAGTCATATCATCAAGGCATTCATTTCTCCGTCGCTCGCTCTCCTCCTCATCAAGATCTACAAAAACGACACCAAAGGGTATAAAATTATTCACATTGTATTTATACACAGGATTCAATTTCTAAGGAAAGTTGCTTATTTGTCGGTGGGTGGTTTGACAGCCTGCCATGATATTTTTCATTGGATCGTTGCGATGCTTATACTATAACTGTCACTCCATGCGGTTTATTGCCAAAATGTAAGGGTTCATCAAATACTATCACACTTGACGAAACAAAGATTCTTCGCCAGTCCTACAGCGACAATATGATCTCAGGAACAGTACATCGTACACGGGATAAATATTTTCAAATTGTGAATCCCGATTTCGAAACTAGAAATATGACATTTATAAGTTACTAATAATATTCATTCAAAGTTTTTTCTGTCAAAATTCCTAGCGCCGCTTTCGAGAAAATACACAATAAACATAAAAGACCACTAGTGCGAGTAACTGTACACATATTTTCACAGTACTTGTGACATTCGTGTCATTACCCGAGGTATCTTCGTCTTCCCCCTCCGATGTTGCCGATCCCGTTTCATCGTCGGACGATTTGTCGCTGTCCCCCGGATCGTGGTCCATTTCTTCTTCCTCCGTCTCCCCGCGGTCGTTTTCTATCAGTGGCATGCCAAAGGCAATTATTGGGCAGTTCTTATTACTTCACCTTTCCCTGAAGAATTGTGATATTTGAAAACATAAACAAGCACCTGCCGCCAGATGCACGCGACGCACAGACGGAACTGTACACTGCGCATGCCTAGAGGAAATCCCAGGGAAAATCCCTTTGAATGCTATTTTTAGATTCACAGCCGTGGAACACGATGCGTGGCATATACGAGGATGAAGTGTTTGTGTACTTATATTTTCTTGCGCGCAAATTAGTCTGTCTGCATTTGTAGCTGTTTGTTTTAAATACAAAACATGGTACATTTTTCATTTTTAACGAACACATATTACAGTGATATTCCAAACATGAAACTGTCTTTGAATTTTGAGATAATAAATTGAATACTAGTATTCAAGATAATATATTGAATTTAGATTCTAAGTTGCAATTTTAAGAAGGCATTTTAAAAAAAATCAAACTTCAAATTAGTATTTAACTTTAACTTCATCACGACAATTCAGTTTTTATAATATAATTTGAACTTACAAGAGTACATATAATGAACAGAAATTCCTCATCAGGTTAATAGACTTGAGTGGAATGTATCATTCGTGAAGCTATATAACATATCACCATTATATCACTCGGTGTGTTTCACCCGTACCCGGATATCACCCGTTTGGGTGTACAAGCTGAATTAAGCCCGACGCGTCCCGTTATCTGAAACTATAGGAAACACTACTGATCACTGTCACTCCCGCGTCCTGTTTCTACCCACCCTGTGTTATCCGAGGTGAACACGCCATATCGACCCGTCTCCTCAGTGAACACTCGATAAGCCAGACTGTACGTATACCCTGGCGTCTCCCGCCCTGTATGTACTGACTGGATGATCGACAGTTCACAGCTTGGAAATATGATTTAATTTCCTGTTTTCTTACACGCACACACTGTTTCGATTACGGCGTGATTCCATTGCATATAATTGTTAGTTTAATTTGAGATTTCATGATCAATTATCCTGCAAGAATGACTATTGTTACTATATCCTGGTTTCGTTGATCACGGGTATGATAAATACACACAACGGTTAGTGGTGTTATTGCAGCTCCGCCGTTCTCTGTAAATTTTGCCGCTTTTGAATTTTATCTGATTAATCTAAACGCCTAGTGTTAAAACACAGCTCGACGTGCACAGACCCGTTGTACGACTGCTGCCGCGCAGAATTGTTGTGTATTTCTCGCAAGGACTTGTACATGTATCGTCACTGTGTCTTCCAACATCGTTGTAGACTAAGTCACGAGTCACATATGAAATATTAATGATGAAATGATGCGAAATTCCAGCATCAATAATCAAGCGTTTCATGCTGGTGTTATGAGTGAGGAGCTGGGATCGATGATTGATGCTGCGTGTGTACAGTGCATGGCTGCTACGTAGACTATTCCAATGGACAAGCTGTTGCTACCCGGTCAATGGGAATGTTAAGACACACGGCAGGAATGACGTAGCGAGCAACGTCACCAGCAGCGGTATGAAACACAGGAACCCCCGCCACGTTGTAGACAGGAGCTATAAATAGTAAGGGATATATCCCTGTCATATTCGACACCATTCCACTCGACTAATGTTATTTGAAGTTGCAGTATTTCAACTGCCTATCAAATCAAATTACAAGGATCCCTGTGTTTCCGAGATATCGTTCTACCTATTTGGTGTTGTAAATACTGCCTGTGCCGGAGATGGGGGTTTCAAGGATTACACCTGTGCACGTGGCTACCTGGGTGTTCATTGTCACCGTTGTCAGCGGAGTTGAAAGGTGAGTTCAGAGTCCTAATATAATCTACTCTATGTTTAAAGCAGACAAAACATTAAATCCATTTATATGAAATCTAGATTCAAATTTAAGAATACCCAAAATGAAATTCTAATACAACTGACAATAAACACATGTATCCCCGAGGTCTCTGCTATGTTTAAGATCTATACTGTTTATAAGGCATAGCCATTAAGACAGACACATTACTGCTTTTAAAGAGACCGAGACAAGAGGCTATTATGCGTACGTTGAAAAATCAATAAAATATTGTTTTTAGTTTACAAACTATAAAGGGAAATTGATTTCTCAGTTTGGAACAATGTACTATATTTTAGAGAGACAATGTACATTGTACACGTGTATGAAATTGTTATATGATGAAATAATTACACATTTATTACTCTGTACTAGGTTACGTATAACTGTATGCCAGGCTTAAAGTCAAGTAACACTGATATAACATGCTTGTGAACACGTGCATTCTTGTATAGAGCAGTTGAGGATCTTAATGTCAAATGTATAATGCTAAAGCTCGGGCTAATTGGCACAACAATTACTTCACGCTGTTTTGTTGACATATAATAAAGTTCCAACCAGTCGGGATATGGTTTAAAGGGGGAATGGCCTATAGCCAAATTAGCATTACCAGCAATTTTGATGCACCTACTTATAAAACCCACTATGTCCGCTAACATTATGAAGATGAAACTATCCATTTAGAATGTTTCCAGACTATATATCAGATTCACACAGGGGTACAGGGCGAGGAATATATAAATATACTCTCTCTCTCTCTCTCTCTCTCTCTCTCTCTCTCTCTCTCTCTCTATATATATATATATATATAGCGTGTTAGGTACCGTCTCGGTGAATGATAAGCCGATCTGTATATATCGCTGGTTTTGAGATGGCCAGATAAACTGTTATTTTGGCCGTAGCCTGGCGTACCCTGGCTAACACGTACATGTATTTATAAATATTGTGTGATATATATGCCTGGATCTCTGAACAGGCGAAATTTTATTGTCGCACGTATACTTGATCTATAACAGAAACTCGGCTCAGTCTGCACAGATTTGTACTGTATATAACATATATATCACTGGAACCGCCGTCATATAGCTGAAATATTACTGAGTGCGGCGTTAAACAAAACAATTTTTTTTGGAAATTACACTGTAGGTGGTGTAGATCTATACAAATGTACTGATATATCTTCACGTGGTATTATCCATTGCTTGTAGCTTATTCATTGATGAAACGTAAATACTACGTTATTAAAGTGGGATATGGATTACAAAATAATGGAAAGTTAATACTTGTCATTTGTAAGAACTCGTACTTCCAACCATGCGGCCGATTACTCCACCCGTATTCGCCAACATGAGTAGTTGGGAACATATCGATAGTATCCTAGTCCGGTATTATCATATAACACAGTGAACGATGAGCCTACATCATTACGTTGTTGTTCACCAAGACCAGACACTTATTCATTTTCTGAAACCAGCATTGAAGCACCACTTTACATTTTCACTTATTTCCAGCGAGAAGAAGTACTGTGACGTCAGGTTGTGGTATCTGGACCTGGTGACAGATGGACCTCTAGCTGGGCAGCTGTCAGAAGAAAGAGTTGTTCTCAAAGCAAAGATCGAAAAAATGATGGAGAAATACAAAGCTGTTGGACGATCAGACGGCAAGGTGGAGTGTCGCATACTTGCATTGTACGAGGAATTACTACGAGCAGACGACAAACCAACAGAAACACCTGGCGGGGAGAAAGAGAGTACCGATTCCGTAGATGAACCAGAAAAGGTCAAGGACAGAAAAGACAACGCGAGCCCTCAGCAAAAACAACAAACGGACTCAGAACAGAAGGAAACAGATAAAGATAAGCCTAGTTCTCTAGAAGATGATACCGATCTTGATGAAACAGAGTTTGGTGATGAAACTGAGGGAGAAACTGAAGCACAATCGGATGCTGCTGCTTCCCCTTCAGGTACTGCCTCTGAGAGTGTACAGGAGCAGGAAACAGCCGGTATTTCAAAACAAGAAACCAAGACTGGCCACAAACAGGAAGACGAGCCTGTCAAATCCGAAGAGGAACCCAAGTCAGATTCTAAGGTGGACGCAAGTCAAGAGACGACAAGTAGTTCCAGCAAGAAGACACGAATGGTTGAGGAATTTGTATTTGATCCTCTCCGGGGATATGTCAAAGTAATGAAAGAAGTTGATATTGTTGACGAAGACGAAAAAGACAAGAAAAAAGGACCAGAATCGGATAAATCTGTCAAATCAGGTGCTGAAGCAACACCACCTATCGAAACAAAGAAGACTCTACCCGAGACAGAGACACTATCAAAAGAGAAGGAAAATATACAGGAAAAAGATGTAACAGAAAAGAAGACTGTGAGCAAAGAACAAACAGTCATACTGCAAACTTCAAAAGAAAAGACGAAATCTGAACCGAAAGTACCCCAAACATTGACATCATTACAAAGAATACAAAATGCTTGTTTATACCGACATAAATGTGCAGTGTATTGTTACTATGGCTTTTCCAATCGCAAGTGTCTTGAGCATTATCCGGATATAGAATATAAAGTAGTTCCAGAAATCCAAACAGAACATTTGATACGTGAGACAATTAGCGAGAGCTCCAAAGATGAGACGGCTGGTGACAATGCTAAAAATATGTTGTCAGTAACCGAAATGTTAAAGAAAAAGGAATTAAGCCAACAAGAATCAAAGGTTGTTCCAGGAGCAAATCTTGACAAACCAAATTCCCCTGAACTTGGGTTGGGAAACAGTAAACCAACGGAAGTTGTCGACATGGCTCAGACAAAAGAAAGTAGCAGCACAGAGACAAATGAAGCAAAGACAAAATCCGAGGATAAAAATGATTCAACAAAGAAACAAAACCAAGACGGAGCAGATGAAGGATCTACAAGATATCCACAAGGGTTCCGGGACTTCACAGAGGATCTGCATAGGTTTGAGAGACAGTTTCAAGAACGAGCTTCAGAATATGCAAGTAAGATCCAAAGTTTGGAGATCATGATCATGAAGCTGGAGAACCAGTTACTGGGTGAGACAATCAACAAGCAGAATGACAGCAACGTCTTGTCCAGGCTCGAGAATCAGATATTGAGACTCGAGAACGACCTGTTGAAGCTTAACCACAACTATGTCACTTTGAAAGAAGAAAACGACATCATAAAAGCTCGCCAAGGGAAATATCTCAAATTGGGACATGACAAAGGTGACCCAAACCAACCATCTCTGACTGACAACAGCACGAAACATTACGAGCTGATCACACAACAGCAAAGCAAGATATCAGAGCTGTCGACCATTTTGAAGAACCACTCCATCCTGTTCAACCAGCTTCAGAGCAAATCACAACATCTTGAAGAACAGAATCAGATGTTGTATCAAATCGTCATGAACCAAACAGCTCTCATCTCTAGTATCATGAAGAAGATGCAGGACTTGTCCGAGGAGAGTTTGAAGCACCGCCATGAGACCCAGGAACTCAAGACTAAACTGGAGATCAAAGCCAACTCAGACAGAATCTTGGAGCGATTGGACAATCTTGTATCTGGAACACCTGCCATCTCGAAAAGCGTTGTAGACGATGGTAAACCGGAAGAGAAGGTTATTACAAAGACTCTACGAAGTTTCTTTCCCAAATCCCCTGATGCTATAGTAGAGAAGCGTCCTTGGTCGTGTGGTGGTATTAATAGCTCTCGTTTTTGTGTGATGTATTCCTTAGTCGTATCCCCATGCCCACCGTTCTCGACTGTCTATTGGGAGAAGTGTCCATACTTTCTAAAAGACATTTCGAAAATTAAAACAAATGGCGAAAGTAAATCCTCTGAGGTCACTGCTTCTGAGCCTGACAACAAGGAAGATGCCGAGGAAGGTTTTCAGACCAGCCATCTTCCGGTCAACGAGGAGAAGGAAAGTAAGGATGATATTTTAACGAAGGAATCACAAAGTGATGAAACCAAGACGGCTACTAAGGGCAGTGTAGGCGACAGCAGTTCACATGATACGCAGGAGAAGGAATCTTCCAAGGCAGAGACTGATTCAACAAAACAAACAAATGATGTCACTTCCCCACAACCTTCTGACCAAGCACCTGCTCCTGAACCAAGAAGTGATGACGCCAAGATGGCTGCTGCAGGTGGCAGCAGTTCAGATACGCAGAAGGAATCGTCTAAGGATGAGGGGGATTCAACGAAACAAACAAATGATGCCACATCACCACCCGCTGCTGCTCCCGAGGAGAGGAAGATTCTCTACCCACACGACGGAGACACACCGAAACCTCGAGGTTGGTACTAGTTTGTATTAATCCAGACATAACTATCAAAATTCTCGCCATCGTGTTTGATGCAACGATGCGACCACGTACATGTAAATGCGAGTTATTGCTTCAGCTGTTGCTCTCGTTATAAATCAATCGTTGGCATCAAATAATGGTGACACATGTTCTTTCAGATAAATCTGTTCCATTCAAATCAATAGGCTTGCTCAAATTCATGTTGACACAGAGAAACACTACTGAATTTCACATGTTAAAAATTAAGTGATGTTGCGGAAACATCAGCCAAGAAAGATTGTGTGTGGACAAATCCACGATTTCAGCAATAATGAAAAATAAACCAGCAGTGCTCCCTGTACAGCCGTCGCAGCCTTTGTTCTTTATATCGAACAAAGCACAAAGTCATTTTCAATCAAGATGTTTTTTGCCAGTTTAATATGTGTCATGAATTATTATTATTAAAATCTTGACCGGCTTTTCTCTTACATTGACAACTTATGTATATTATGTTCACTGCCCCTGTCCCTTGGCTTAATTTATGCTAATCCTATCATGTGTTAAACTACTGTTGACTTAATTCATGCTGCCAAGTTAACTTTTTTAACTGCCCCTCTAGATTTCGCTTATCTATTCTAAGCTGATTTTTTCGTTTACCGAAGTTTCTTATGTAACCATGTTCAGCATCGGTGACTGCCAATCAATTCATTTGGTGCATGCTAACCCATGTAAAGTCTACCTCTGTATTTAGTTTTTCCACGTTGACACTTAACCGGGTCTACCACTCATCTGTATATAGCTTATCTGAGCTTACCCAGTTAACCGTGTAACGTGTTCCTCTGTATTTGGCTGAAATATGCTGAGCATGTTAACTGTCATAACTGTACCCCGACTTGATTGCATTTAGCTGCGGAAGGTTGCTGGTTCGATCTCCTGGCCGCGCCACTCAAAGACTAAAAGGACTGATCCACGCTGAGGCTGTTAACCGTCTTAATTAATTGCCCCACCCCCCTTTATCTGACCGCTCCATGCTGAGGCTGTTAACTGTCTTAAGTGCCCCTCTGTTCTCCCCCAGACTGCTACGAGTACTACGAGGACGGCCACACCCGGAACGGCATGTACAAGATTCACCTGGTGGGTCTGGAGAAGAACCTCCCTGTGTACTGTGACATGAGGGGCGGAGGTTGGACCATCGTCCTCAAGCGCTCCAGCGGGGGCATCGACTTCAACAGGGAGTGGTCTGACTACCAGAAGGGCTTCGGGGGTATATATGACTTCGTTGTCTCAAATGGTTCTGTATCTTCGTAACAGATCGTCTTGTGATTTTGCCTACACTTAGACATGTTTAGCCTTGATCCACCCATTATGGAAATCCGCATGGCACAAATGCTCTTCAAATGCGTTTCGCGAACACTGATTTTCAGTGGTCCATTCATATCATTTTCACCTCTATTGTTGCCTAACGCCTGATTAAACATTATTCTCGACCCTTGAAGATCCGGGGTAGAATAGATCTTCAGCAACCCATGCTTGCCGTAACAGGCGACTATGCTTGTTGTAAGAGGCGTAATGGGATCGGGTGGTCAGGCTCGCTGACTTGGTTGATGCATGTCATCTTATCCCAATTGTGTGGATCGATGCTCATGATGTCAATCACTGGATTGTCTGGTCCAGATTCGAATATTTATAGCTCGTCGTCACATAGCTGGAATATTGCTGAGTGCGGCGTTAAACAACAAACAAAAAATGTTATTCTCTGGCGTTAACGTTTCATTTTTTCATGTGGGGGGGGGGGGGGGGGGGGGGCTCGGCACTCGTCTAAGGCGCCGCGATTCGCTGTGCAGAGTTGCGTCCCTTGGGCACGCCAGAAACCTATGATTGTGGGTTCGAATCCCGGTTCGCTCCGATTATGTTTCTAGGTTTGTCAGCACCATACCCGTGCTCGTGGGTTTCACCGAAGTGGTAAACGTCTGAGACCTGCATCGGGCTTTCCTCCCACATTAAGCTGACACGCCGTGATATAACTGGAGTACTGTTAAAAGCGGTGTTAAACCCAACTCACTCACTCACTCATCTGGGCCAAGAGTCGTCGATGTAATTGTGTGTAAGGTCTCTTTGTGTTACTGGCTACAGGTTTGTACGCAGACCACTGGATTGGTAACGACAACCTCCACTACTTCACGAACCAGAAGAACTATCGCCTGCGGGTGGACCTCAGCGACTTCCATTGGGAGAGTCGGTACGCGGAATACGACACCTTCTGGACAGACGACGAAGATGAGGGATACCGGCTCCACATCGGAGGTTATAGTGGCACCGCCGGGGACAGCTTCCTAAAGCACAACAACATGAAGTTCAGCACCAAGGACGTCGACAACGACCTCGTCAACAAAGAGTTGAAAGCCTACGACCACAACTGCGCTAAACGGTTCCACAGTGGATGGTGGTACTACAAATGTTACATGACTAATCTCACCGGACGCTATTACAAGAAGGGGGTAGTTCCTGACAAACAGTTTGATGGTGTTTCGTGGAAAACGTGGAAAGGTCCATCGGAGTCATTAAAAGAAGCAGTGATGAAGATTAGACCTTTTGGAGTGACAGACTAGAGTTGTGTAGTGGTTAGTGTGCAATAAACGATTATGTCGTGCAAATGGATCCCTCCTGGGTATTTAAACGAATATCACCACACAGTCATCTTGGCATCATAAATGTACATATTCAAAGAAAAACTCATCATATGACACATTTTTAAAGCAAATTCCATGTGTTATCTAAAATGTGATTCGAACAAATATCAGCTTTTCTTGCTGTAATCCTTTGCTTGTTCGTCTGTTCCATTCCATTCTTCGTAAAATCCGTTGATTCTACGGACAAAATGTCCATTATTTATTCTATATGTTGTTAACTATTCATAACTCTATTTCATGTGAACAGTTTTTGTTACCAAGAATTTGATCTGCTGCCAGTCTAAAAAAACCTGTATCACGTTCTCTAAAACATCAACGATGGGCATTGATACGAATGTCAGTGTTTAAACTGTTTTGTATAAGATGATATTGTAACGTTTTCTTCAAAATGTCTTGCAAACTAGGCATTCAACTTCTTCTCTAGCTGCTTTGAAATCCGGCGGGACGGATGGCCCAGTCGTCTAGGGCACCGCTAATTGATGCGCAGAGTTGTGTCCCTTGGGCACGACAGAAACCCATAATAGTGGGTTCGAATCCCGGTTCGCCCCGAATATGTTTCTATGTTTGTCAGCTTCATACCCGTACTCGTGGGTTTCACAAAAGTGGTAAACGTCTGAGACCCGCATCACTTCGCACTTCCCTCCCACATTAAGCTGTGATATACTGTTCAAAGCGGCATTAAACCCAACTCACTCACTGATATGTCATTCCGAGAAACAAATAATTTTTTATAGGTTTATATCTGTGTATTTCAACTGCTTCCGTACCTCTGCGGTCAACAGCGGCTATAACAATGTCTGGCACAGCAGAACTTCGCGATTACTAATCTCCCAGGTGCCGTGGTCCTAGTACTGTTAAACCTTTTTCATTGCTTCGATCGGTGATTTATTTTGTTTTGTGTTCTGTTGAACACCACACTAAGCAGTTGCCCCCCTGGATTTTTTATAGAAAACATTTTTCCTTGTGAAAGTTAACTTGAATAAGAAATGAATAATCTTATTTGCCCCCCCCCCCCCTATTATTCGTCCTTAACTACAGCCTTGCCTATCGTCTGTAAAGCATTAAGAACAAGGCAACTATAGATGTCGTCTGCTAGTTTCTGCTACAGTGTTGCTCGCCGGACAGCTGGAAGTCTGGGCAGATGCTAAAATGTTCCCCCTTTTGATGAACATAAATCTACCAGATATCGTAGTCCTAAAATGGTCCCCCCTTTGATGGAATTACCAGATATCGGTTGTCTTAAAATGTTGCATCTTTCGATGGGACATAAATCTATTAGGGATCTGCAAATGTGCAAGCATGAGAGCAAACATAGTACCACAACGAACGTGAAATGAAGCCGTAACTGGGAGATTGAAGGGTCAGAGAGAGCATGTATTATTCATCCCCACGTATTTTTGTGTGAAAAGACTTAATTTCGAGGTACATGTATTTGACACCCCATTGTAACCAATCAGAATGATGCATTCTTCAATGTCATGGTAGAAAAAGTTAATATGAGAGAGAGAGAGAGAGAGAGAGAGAAAGAGAGAGAGAGAGAGAGATCATTTATCAAAGGGGTCTTCCTGTCCTCCATACATTGTACTTGGAAATGAAAATCAAAGACAACATAAAACAATTCCATATTTTCATGGCCTTACCCATAATTGTGCATTTAGTACCACAAACCTCCCCTAAAATCTCTATATAACCGCCTCACATCCACCATTCCCTTACATAACTGCCATCCCATACCCAAATCCACCAATTACATGTGACATTTCCCTGATATCACGTTTGCTCAATCCATCCATAGAATGCATTTCATAACTTGTTGTGAGCCTCTCTTTCCCAAGAAAACGGTTTGGTGAATAACAATCATATTATTTTGTGATGACTATCAACATTCCATATCTATCCCCAATAACAATTGAGACATGGAACCTTTTATCAACAACTTCTATATTCTTAGAATTCTTAAGAGTAAAATTGTTATCTATAAAGAGTTTAATGATTTCAGGTCTAACAACTTCTAAATGCCTAACAAAGACTATATGACAATAATGTTTCTAGAAAATGTGATTCAAGTATCTCAAGCACAGCATTGTTTATGTGTCAGTTCAAATTATACTATTTATTACATTTAGATGTTAATGACTACCTTAGTGACACTCACAGTGCCAGTGTCTCAGTATTAGACAGAGGACTGTGGAACATTGTGACTTTTAAAGAGCAAAAAACAACATGACATACTAGCAAGAAGAACAATTTTCAGCATCATGAATTAAGAGAAAGAAGTTTCATTTTTATGTATCCTTGTTTAAATGCAATAATTCTATATGAGGGTACCGTGAACCTGTTAGTCCGTCCCCTATAGAGAATCATCACAAAGGCTTTAATCCAGATGATTTCCCTGGGAATGGCCTGGATGAACATTTTTGTCTGAATAGCCAGAGATCTTGGAAAGTTAGTTTTAAATCTTAACATGGCACTCTTCTTTGCTGGAATGTCTGGTATGATAATATTTGAATTGAGGAAACATTACACACATTTTGTGGTTAAATTTGAAAGATGTTTTTTTCATAACCAAGCAGATAACTATCTAAAAAGACATATATGCTTGTTTTTCACTGGTATATCACTTCCACAACTATACAATGTGCCTTTAACCAGTTCCTGTGCCTTCCCCATCTTGTCCAGCCTGTTCACCATGGCAGGCATCGGCAATAAGTACTTAACAATATTTGTATCCGAATAAATGTATATTTGTAAATTACTGATTTGTCTTGACATTCACATTGAATAAATATCATTTGTACAATATTCTCTGTTTGTCTCCAAAATTTGATGTGTTAATGTGATATTAAGCTGTTCCTTTGCCATAAGCTGGCTCTTCATCAGATGACTGTGCTGTGTTAAATATCCACACCCCTTGGTGTTTCAATGGTTCTGCACACTCCATGTGTAGCAGGGCGTGGAGTCATCCCACATCCTTACCTTGTCAGCTTGCTAATGGGGTCAACCTGTTTGGTCATGTGGACAGGGTGTCAGACCTCTTATAAGAAAGTTTGTGGTTCGAATTCAATCATGGAACTCAGGAAATTGTATGGTCGCTACATTTACCCCTCAACGTGGGTCTGAGCATGTTCATATCAAATTATGCGAAAACAGCCTGGGGTGTCTTCTGTTGACTGGGGAGTATGTAGCAGGTGTAGAATCATCCCATAGATGACATCCTTACCTTGTCAGCTTGCCAACAAGATGTCCGACCTTGGATCAGAAGGTCCCTGGTTCGAATCCTATCCTTATGGTGGCTACATAAGAGCTTATCCAAATGATGTGTTTGTTTGATTGTTTGTTGTTTAACGCCACGCTCAGTAATATTCCAGCTGTATGATGGAGGGCTGTAAATGATCAAGTCTGGGCCAGACAATCCAGTGATTGACACCATGAGCGTTGATCCACGAAATTGGGATACAATGACATGCATCAGCCAAGTATGCGAGCCTGACCACCAATCCCATTAGTCGCCAAGTCAGCAATCCTGTTAGTCGCCTCTTATGATGAGCATAGTCGCCTTTCACAGCAAGTATGGGTTGCTAAAGACCTATTCTACCCTGGATCTTCACGAATCCAAAGGAGAATTGGTTGGTAATAATGCATGATCTGGTGGATTGTACATCATCCTCTTCCGACACTGTGGATCACTGCTCATGCTACCAAACATCAAAAACTGATTTGCCTGACTCAGTTATTAACAGGTTTCTGTAACATAGCATCATAAAATAACATTCACTCGCACACTCACCAAATATTCAGTATCATTTTTCGCATTGATTGTTGATTTCCCATAAGATATAATGTTTTACCTAATAAGCAGCGTGGTTGCTCATGTAAGCTACAAGTCAAAGGGGCATATATATACTACTCACCTTTTGAGGGGCGGTCAGGTAGCCTAGTGGTTAAAGCCTTTGCTCGTCACGCCGAAGACCCGGGTTCGATTCCCTACATGGGTACAATGTGTGAAGCCCATTTCTGGTGTCCCCCGCCATGATTTTGCGGGAATATTGCTAAAAGCGGTGTAAAACCATGCTCACTCACTACTCACCTTTTGATTGGGATGTTTTTTAGTCTTTCCATGATACACATATGCAATAATGAAGTTGATTATCTTGTAATGAGTGTTACAACATATCCAGCGCCTAATTGCCATTGGATCAGAAAACAACAAAACAGTGTTCCTTCAGACACATCTATGCTTCTTACAGACCGACCATTTGAGACGGGTATTATGTTGCTTGTTTCTAAAATGAACAAATTTATTCCTGACAATGCTGCAAAAAACAAATGTGATCAATATTTTTAAAAAAAATGTATTCACTGAACATGCTTAGATGTCCTGAAAAAATGTGTTTAATATAAATTTATTTGGCTCTGAAAAGAATTGTAGGTCTTGAAGCAGATCTGGCTCAAACAAAAGTCTCAAACTATCTTAAATTTTACCCATTTTCACAAATAAGACCATGCATATCTGTGAGATCCCAGTACATGTAATAATATGTTGGGACAAAAGGATTCAGATCCAAATCAAAACATGTCCAATTAAAGCAAATTAAATGCAATTAAAACTATTTGAGAATATGATTTTATTATTTGTTTATTTAGCAAAGACAATCACAGAAAAAGATAGATGCATCAATATTTGTCAAGATGCCACATAATCATTTATACATCAGACATTCATACATACACATAAAACCATCCTGTCATTTTTTGCCAAAGAAAAGTTTTGACTTTAGAACTTTGGGTACCACCCTGATTGTAAGTGATACCCGAGTGGCTCTTTGCAGAGTGTCCCCACATTTGGCAGTTGAGCACATGTCTATGTTGGCCACATGGTCTGTGATGGTGTCGACTGTTGTCTCGGCAATGCCGTGTAGATGGACTTTGTACATGTCACCCATGACCAGGACGAGGCTGCGAGGCTCCAGCAACATCGACTGAAAGTACCGGTCCTTGAAGCAGAGAGATCTCTGAAACACACAACACCACGATCCCTTAACACCACGATTCACTCAACCTGAAACACACAACACAACAATCCCTTAACACCACGATACACTCAACCTGAAACACACAACACCACCATCCCTTAACACCATGATACACTCAACCTGAAACACACAACACCACAATCATTTAACACCACGATACACTCAACCTGAAACACACAACACCACAATCCTTTAACACCACAATACACTCAACCTGAAACACACAACACCACAATCCTTTAACACCATGATACACACAACCTGAAACACACAACACCACCATCCCTTAACACCATGATACTTTCAACCTGAACACACAACACCACAATCCCTTAACACCATGATACACTCAACCTGAAACACACAACACCACAATCCTTTAACACCATGATACTCTCAACCTGAAACACACAACACCACCATCCCTTAACACCACTATACACTCAACCTGAAACACACAACACCACAATCCTTTAACACCATGATACTCTCAACCTGAAACACACAACACCACCATCCCTTAACACCACGAT